CCTTTTGAAATGTTTTAGAGTCCATTTTCTTTTTAGGATCCAACTGAAGCAAAGTAGAAATTTTTATTAATTGACCTTTTTTTTAACTTTCATATGCAATAGTTGATCTTGCCTCTGTATTTTGCACTTTATTATTCTTTTTTCCAATAAACAACTCATTTAAAGGAAAATGAGTATTAGTTTGTTCAAGTGGAAAATGTTAAAGTTGTCAGCAATTTGAAAAATATCACACTTTGTAAAGCAGTAGCCTACCTCAGAATATTGTTGGGAGAATTAAGTGTGTTAATATTTGAAGAGCTCTTGAAAGCACTCGTACATAAAAAGCCATTGTAGGAGTGTTTTCTATTATTATTATATGGCATTGTTTCTGCTCCCTTCACTTTCCTTGCTGCCTTTCTCTAAAGATGCATTCAGAGAGCTAGCATTTTGTTGTTCTTCAATTGTGCTGTGGTAGCTTGATCCATACAAAGTACTTTATCCATTTTTGGGGAAATTCTACTTCTGTTAACATATCCTAAAAACATGTCAATTTTTTTATTAGGCTTGTTCATGTATACATCGATTCAGCAAATATTTATGGAGTTCCCATTTATTTGTCAGGATCTGAACTAGGCATTAAGCTTTCAGTTTCTGCCTGTAGGAGAAACTGTTGGCACAAACTGAACTTACTGTCAACCATTAAGTTTCAACCCTGAGTCTTTGTGCATATTCATTTCCTCTTCCTGGGAAATACTGCTCATTTCATATATTTAACCTCTACCCCTGCTTCTAGGTATAATTCAAATCGAGTTTCTTTCTAAGATAGTAGCCCAGTGATTCCTGAACTTTTCTGCATATCAAAATCATTTGCAGAAGCTTGTTAAAAATAAATTCTGGGCCCTGAGTCTACATGATCTGATATGTTATATTCAATTTGATGATTGTGATGCAATTAATGTATCTGTGTTGGGAGATTTATAATCTCTCTCTTGAACTGTAAATTTCCCATAACATTAATTTTATATATGATTTTTTTGATCACAACAGTAGTGGGAACATAAACAATTAACTTTTTTATTCCATCTGATAGTTTAAAAGGTACTTTTACATACAATATTTCCTTAACTTTCATGTGAAATAAGTGGTCAACTATTTTTATTTTTATCTCCATTTTATAGATGAGAAAACAGAGATTTAGAGAAATAAAGTGACATTTTTAGTTCATTTGAGGCAAAGCTACAATTTGAATATAAATTCCTGATAAGACATGGATTGTAACATTAAGTCCACTGTTAGGAAATCTTTATAGTAGCATGTATCTTTTCATCCATATAATCCCTATCTCCCCACTTTACATTTAGAATCCTTTAAAGCAGAAAATGTATTCCATATTACTTTGTGTACCTAGAATGCCTAGAGAAGGTCCTTTATACAAATACACGAATATTTATTGCTTTAATATATAGTGTACTAAAATAAAGATCTCTATAAATTTCTTTGAATATGTGAAACATACGATCGCATCAGTAGTATTTGAACCTAACCTAGGTATTTTTCCTTTCATCATGGAAGTCTCCTACATATATTCTCTGTAGTCTTCAGGATTTCTTTATAAGTCCGATTCCCAACTAATAAAGTAATGTGTTTTTAAAATAATGAACATATTCTTGTATTTTAATTTGTTTTAGAAATGTATGATGCAAACAATATTTAATGGTACAATCTCATGCCATGTGTCTCTATTATATATTTGTGTTTAATGTATTCCAGGGATACCTGCCTCCCTTAGCTGGTGCTGGAATGCAGGTGATGCAGTGGCATTTGTTTCGCACAGAGGACCACTGTTCATTTGGACCATCTCAGGACCAGATAGTGGAGTGACTGTACACAAAGAAGCTCAGAGCTTCTTGTCTGATGTCTGTATATTCAGATGGCATACCCAAAAAAAGGGGAAAGTTGTGTTTGGTCATATTGATGGAAGTCTATCAATTTTTCAGCCAGGTAAGAATTTAATTAG